ATTTTTAAAATTTAATTAATTAATTAATTAATTTATTTATTTAAAGTATGGTTGACATGCAACATTAGTTTCAGGTGTACAACATAATGAATAAATACTTAATACCTCATGAAATACTTACCATGATAAGTGTAGTTATCATCTGCCATGATTTGTCACCATACAACATTATTACAGTATTATTGATTTTTTTCCCTAGGTTATGCTTTGCATACCTGCATACTTGTGACTTACTTGTTTTATAACTGGAAGTTTATACCTCTTAATTCCCTTTACCTACTTCACCCCGTAACATTTTTTCCTCTAGCTTTATTGTAAGGACACAGTATATAATACATACAACATACAAAATACATGTTAATCAACTGTGTTATGGGTAAGTTTCTGGTTAACAGTAGGCTATTAGTAATTAAGTTTTTGCAGAGTCAAAAACTTTCGATTTTTGAGGGAGGAGGTGGGTGTCAGAGCACCCAAAGATGTTCAAGGGTCAACTGTCTTTGCTGTTTCAGAAAAATTGTCAGTAGCCTGTTTAAAAATAAACTTTGTTGATACTGGTTTCTAGTATTGGTTTAATCCCATTTTGTACTTCCACGTCAGTAGGCAGGCCTAATGAACATTACTGTTAAGGAATAAAACCTCATTATCCCAACTTTAGTCATGGGTGTGTCCTTATAATGTGCTTCCTTGAATGTGTGGTTTTCTCTTCTGACATCTTACACCATCCTATTACAGACTTCCTTTAAACAGGGCATGAAGTTAAACTGTGATCCTTTTTATTTAAAAAAAAAAAACCATGTACTTTTATATAAACTCCAACAATACAGCCCCTCCATTTTCTTATCCTCTCCACACTGGACCCTGCCTCCCCTGGCTCCCTTTTAAAGGTGGCACTGACTTGGTTAAGTGACGGACTTTTGATTTGGGCTCAGGTCACGATCTCACCATCTGTGAGTTGGGAGTCCTGAATTTGGCTCTGTGCTGACTTTAAGAAAAATAAAGCTTCAGTTAGTTCACTAGCAAAATAGGTTTATTCAGGAATAACAGATGACTGCAACTTGGGATAAGAGCAGTAGGCAAAAACAACAAACAAAGCAAAGGAACATTATTTAATTGAGAAGGAGGAAGTTGGGAGGGGTTGTTTTGAATAAAAGTCCATTGGAGAAAAGCAAGAGTTTAGGGGGATGAAGGTTTCTCACTGGCTGAGTTGCAGGGGTAGTCAATTTCTTATAGGCTCCAATATACATCTTTCTCTGTTGGGGCCTGTAATTGATGATTCTTTCCTTTCGAGGGTTCTTTTGTTGAAGTGTGTAACTGACAATTCTTCCTATAATTTAATGGTGAAGAGGTAGAGGCTCCCCCTACCAGGCTCCCCTTCTAGTCTCTCAACTGCGCTTTTAGTGAGGTTTCCTTTCATTAATTTTTCACAAAAGTAAATACTTTTTTTTTAGGAAATCTTGTGTTTTGATACAATTAACCACTGAGGTGTAGTGAACCTGTAGTCTACCTCGGGTTTAGGACCTTCCATATTCTGTTTCTGTTTTTAAAATCTCTTGCCCACCCTTCCCGGGAAAATCTGCAGCTTGGGCCCAGCCACGCCTCCCTACGTTGGTCCCACCCATGCCGGCCCCGCCCATGCTGGCCCAGCGTTCCATCTCCATGGTTACCGGGCCCTCTTGGAGTACCCAGCAGCTTGCCGGCCCCATGGTTACCGGGCCCTCGTGGAGTACCCTGAAGTCCCGCAAAGCGGGGGAAGAGGGAAACCATCGTATAGACTGGCCGCCGGCTCTCCAAGCCACGGTGACCCCACCCGGGGCTCTGCGCCCTTCAGGCGCGAGGAGGGAGCACGGGCAGCGGGTATAGCCCCTGAGGCTGGAGACACTCTGTGCAGCCTCGGTTGAGACCTAACTGTCGGTCAGAACTCCTTTCCTTGCGCCCAGGCTGAGCGGAAACAGGTTGCTTCCGGCCGGAGTCGCCCAGGCCCGCAGGTCAGACCTCTAACTCGCTCTGAGCCGGCATCAGAGGTTCGGGCCTCTCCGGGGTGCTACTCGCACCCCTAAAGGCCAGATGTCGGGAGATGTAGAGCTTCAAGTGGGGAGGAGGAGGGTACTGAGGGGAGTCAGTAGTGACCCTCTGCGCTGGGCCCACGGCACTCGGGAACGCACACAGACATGGGCGCACGCACAGACGGACACGCGCACACGCGCAACTAACACTTTTTGAATACTAGTTACACGTTGTATTAAGCGCTTGCGTTATGCCACGTGCTGTTTTAAACACTAAGTGTATAGAACTTACTTAGGTCTTGGGACAACTCTGGGGAGAGGGTAGTAGTCTCATCAAATTTTTTAGAGGAGGAAGCCGGCTTACGGAGAGGGGAAGCAAATGTCCAGAGTCTCAGGTACATGGCAATGAGAAAGAACGAAATATGGCCCTTTGTAGCAATGTGGATGGAACTGGAGAGTGTGATGCTAAGTGAAATAAGCCATACAGAGAAAGACAGATACCATATGTTTTCACTCTTATGTGGATCCTGAGAAACTTAACAGAAATCCACGGAGGA